AGTCCTGGCTGATAAAAAAAATCTGCTTATGAAACTAATCTGTAATCTAGAATTTAGAGTGGCATAAAGCAGAGATGAGTGGTTGCCTCAGGGTGGGGGCAGAGGCGGGATGATGGGCTGGATGCCCTAGGAAACTTTGGGGGAGGTGATGGAAATGTTCCTTTCTGGGGGTTGGAAGCATTCTGTGTATTGATTTGGTGATAACATGAGCATATACACATGTGTCAAAGATCGTTGAGCTACATATTAAATGAATGTATCTTATTGTATATCAATTAGACCGCCATTAAATCAATTACAAAGATTAAAAAAAAAAATCTGTCTGATTAGGGAAGCCTTCTGCTGAGTTGCCAGGAAACTTGACGCTGTCATTCTGACTCACTGAAGCAGAGTTTTCCATGAGTTTTAATTTTGTGAACTGTGTCCTGTTGTTTTCTCCAAACCCCTACTGGCTACTCTCCAGCCCCCACTGGCTGAGAATGTAATACTTTTGTACTCATGTTCTCAGTTGTCCTGGTTCTGGAAGATTCTGCAACACATTTGCAGAGCTCCCCAGCCTTGTAGCCAACCTGCTTAAGGGCACACTTCCTTGGGCTGGAGCTTCTTTCCAAGCATTGAGAGGCTGGACCATAAATGGACCCATCCCTCTGTCTCGCCTTCTAAAGGAAGCCTTTGGTTCCCTAGACAGAGGAATCCTCTTGGCTGAGGGTTCTGAACCAAGCTGTGCAGAAAAGATCTTGGGCTGCAAAATTCTGTCATAAGATGTAAACCCCAAGTTATCTCAAAACCATACTGGCAGGATATTCAGGAAAGCTGGGCGGATGTCAGAGAGGCATTCCATTTCCTCTTATTAGGATGGAAGATGAGACAGAAGAGGCATCGGCTTCCAGGCTGTTCACTGTGCCGTCTGTTCAACACGCATCCCTTCCCATCCCCCAATCCATTCCAGATATCTACAGCCTAAAACCGGGCTGTCCTCTCCTCTGGTCTCTATTGACTGTAATCCAACAAGGCTGGTCCAGGGCATCCTTGGGCGGCGATGGGCTTGCCCTGTCTATTTCATGCATCACCCCAGAACCCCAACTCCCAGTGCTTTGCTGATGGGAAACACAGAGGTCAGAGGCCTGAGCTTCCAGGGAAACAAGTAAACCACTGTGCCTGATGATGACTGGGGCTCCAGCCAGGGCCGTCCACCTGGCGGGACTGACCTCGGATGAGGAACGCCATTTGTAAGCACTGGTGTCCACCACGGCCGCTGATAGTCTGTACTGCAGATCCCTGTCCTGAAGATTAAATGAGATTCGCACATGGAGCTCTCAGCCCAGGGCCCACTGAGCATAGTAGGTCCTCGAGAAATGACAGTCATTGCCCTGACCAGCAGTGCTGGCACTGGCTCTTCCCGAGAATGTCCCTCCTTCAGTGGCCGCCCTGCACCCTGACCGTAGTGTGTGTGACACTGAGCCACCGCAGACCGAGGTCCCACAGCTCATGGGTGGCAGTCCCTGGCCTCCCTGAGGCTGGCTCTGGCTTTCCAAGTTTGACCGTGTGTACCCCGTGTGTACCTAAGAGTGTGTTTCCCCACTTGCTCACGTTTGTAGAGACAGCGGTGACAGGAAGTATGAAAAAGTGGAGAGCTCTGTCCTGCCCGTGGCTCTCTCCTCCCTCATGTCCTGTTGGAACAAGTGTTCTTTCTTTATCCAGCCACCTAGAAGCTGCCTGGTAGGTACCGGACTCCACTCCCCGAATCACGATTCTATGACTCTGTTGACCAGCAGTTGTCAAAGGAGAATGGCCAGAGCCCTTGCCCCAGGCAGTTTCAGGGTGGAAATCTGTGATGTTTGGGGACCCTTGACTTCCTGCCTTTATGGGACACCCAGAAAGAAGGAGGCTTTTGGTCACCACGGAGGGGGGGGGCCCGGATATGCCGTTTTAGGGGGGTGGGGATAGCAGAGGCACATCACCCCACCCCTGCAGTGGGCTCCGTGGCCCCTTCAGTAATTAACTACCAAAGGAGGGAGGAGGAAAGTGGTCGAGGGCCTGAGGCTTCTGCTAGTGGGCATGTGGGCCTTTTCCCCACCAGCAGCACAGAACCACAAGCACAGAAGCGAGGTGGTCAGGGCGTGGGCAGGTTGTGCCTGGATGCTGCCCGGGGGCTGGAGTGGCAGAAAGAAGAGGCCTGACTCCCTAGCAAGACTGCAGGGAGAAAGGTCCTGGGGCTGGGAGAGGCCCCATTCCTGGAGTTCGCCCCCCGCCCTTCTCGGCTTGGTGTCTGCCAGGGGCACGTGTACGTTCATACACAGACCCAGCCCTGTCCTGACCTCCAGGCCCTGTTAGTTGGCGAGGGCTGCCCACCCACCCACCGGGCCTGGGTTCTGAGCCATGGCAGAGGCAGGAAGGCGCTGCCGAGCTCCCAGGTGGGGGGGCAGCTCCCCACGGGGGGCTTGGGGCTCCTGAGAAAGAAGGGCTGGGATGCATTTTGCGCCCCGAGGAGCCAGGCCCTGGACGGCCCCCCGGGGCACCTGCAGGCCTGGGAGGCCGTTCCGCCGTGTGGAGGGAGGCCTGCGCCGCTGGGAGCTTTCCAGCTGGTGGTCCCGACCCCACCCCCTGACACGTGTCGTCAGGACCCCACCTGGTTTCTCGAGTCCCCAGAAGTGTCAGCTGTGGCGGCCTCCAACTCTGCTTTCCCGGGATTCTCTGACGGGCGAGGAGAGGTTGGGGAGGGTGCTCCCCAGGGGCTGGGAAAGGGGGGTGGGCACCCCGGCTTCATCACCCGAAGCTCCTGGAAACGCACGCCACTGGACCACACAGGGCGGTGGCCTTGCTGGAGCAGCGGCTGGGGCTGTGAGCAAAGGGAGCCGGGCTGCCGGGCGCTGGTCGCCAGGGCAATGCACTTGGGGGTCAGCCGGCCCGAGTGGTGGTAGGGGGGTGGTGCTGCAGCCCTTCTCCACGATCACCAGGGCAGGGCAGAGGGCGACCAGCCTCTGCAGGCAGAATGCCAGCCACCAGGCGGTACTGCCTCCTGGACGGGCAGTTCCCTCTGTCAGCCACCCCGCCCGCCCTGCCATCTCCTGGCTCTCCACAGAAGAGGGGCGCCCTGCTCCTGCCCTGGACCCCGGATGCCCCTGTCCTGGTCTCTCCCGGGGCCTATGCAGTGAGCAGTTTCCCCAGATCTTCCCCCAAAGCGGCTGGGGTCCCAGGCTGGACATCAGGAGCCCAAGATGGGCCTGTTCCTGGGGCTGCCGGAGGCGAGGGGTTGGTCAGGGAGCCGTCCGGCCCGGCTCTAGTGGAGGCTGTCTCCTGGGAGGGGCTTCAGCCGATGGCTGGGGTTCGGGAGGTGCCAGGCACAGGGACGCCAGCCCTGCCTCAGAGAGCTTAGGACAGAGAGTTCCGGGTGGGGCAGGGGGTGCAATATCGCCGAGGATGCAGCAGCCACCCCGGGGGTCTCTGTGTGGACACACTGTGTTCTTTTTTTATTATTATTATTTAAACTTATTTATTTATTTGTTTATGGCTGCGTTGGGTCTTTGTTGCTGCGCGCGGGCTTTCTTTAGTTGCGGCGAGCGGGGGCTACTCTTCGTTGCAGTGCACGGGCTTCTCACTGCGGTGGCTTCTCTTGTTGCGGAGCACGGGCTCTAGGCACGCGGGCTTCAGCTCTTGTGGCTCGCGGGCTCTAGAGCGCAAGCTCAGTAGTTGTGGCGCACGGGCTTAGTTGCTCCGCGGCATGTGGGATCTTCCCGGACCAGGGCTCAAACCCGTGTCTCCTGCATCGGCAGGCGGATTCTTAACCACTGCGCCACCAAGGAAGCCCGCACACTGTGTTCTTCATGGGCAGGGACTGTATTAGTAGCCAGCAGAGAGCCTAGAACCCAGTAGGTGTGATGAAAACTAAGGTTCCCAGGGGGAGCAGGGGGGGCCCTGGGTGGGTGAAAAGTGCATGGGGGTTACCCAACAGAGGGTACCGTGGGGACCGAGCTCCCTCCGGCAGAGGAGTGGACACCTTAGCAGGAGAGGGAGCACGCCGGTGTGTAGACCGGCCAGCCGGGAGAGGCGGCACGGGAGCTGGGGTACAGAGCATGCTGCACGGGGGGCGGCGTGGAAAGGCTGCCCGTCTGGGTTTCGGATGCCAGTGGGGTCCTCACTGTGAGAACAAGATCACAGACAGGACAGAGGTCAGAAAGCCTTCCTCGCTGCGAGATAGAAAACGTTTATTGATATACATGTATTATCTTTCATCAAACTGGGCCACCGTGCTTGTAGGTGGGCTGAGGTGGCCAGGTAGAGCCAGTGCCCACTTTTGGGTGGGGCTGTAGCCCAGAGACTGCCTGGACGGCCTTCCGGAGCCCCTCAGACCAGGCAGACGGCAGCTCAGACATGCCAGCTGGCATGGAGTCAGAAACGAGAGCGAGCCACTCAAGCCAGCCGACGGCTTTTCCTGCGTCCAGGCACTTGCCATGCCAGAGGCTCCCCCATTTCGGCCACCAAAGGGAACCTCACGTGCAGAAAGACTGGGCTCCCAGGCGGGTTAAGGGGAAGCGTCTCCCAGGTAGCACCCTTGCCTTGACAGGGCAGAAAGGAGACAGCAGGTGTCCCAACAGCAGGACAAAGCTGCTGGCCCGACGGGCGATGGGCTGGCTGTTCTCAGGAGGGCTGGCTGATGGGGCAGGAGGTGGATGGGCTGCGTGATCCCTTCCTCTCCTTTCCTGGCCATCCTGGGGCGGGGAGGAGCCCCACACCCGGCCCACCGCCCGGGGTCAACCTCTGCAGAGAGGGTCACGGAAGGAGGATAGCTGGGGGGAGCCTGGTGAGGCCACGGGGGTCTGTTCGGAAGTGGCTCTTCTGTCTCTCGGCCACCCCCAGAGCCTCGGCCCCGGGAGGAGGCGGCACGTGGGCGGGGAGCAGATTTTTCTCCTTTTCTCCTTGCACCCACCTCCCGTCCCCCCGCAAAGGGTCTCTGGAGGCCACTCCAGCTGGCCGCCGCCTCCCCTCCAGGAGCCGGCCTCTCACGAGGCATTCCCCGAGGAGCACTGCATCTCCATGGTGACCGTGTTGGGCGTGCTGCCCCCCGCCTCCCCCGGCTCGGCCCCGTCTCGCAGGGCCCGCTGGAAGACCACCCTGAGGGGCTCCCACAGCCGCTGTGACCTGTCCCTGCCGGCCAGGAAGTAGACGACAGGCTTGGCGCTGCTGTTGATGCAGATACACAGGTCGGTGACGTACTCGGGGAAGGGGGCCGGGATCTGGAAGACCCAGAAGAGGAACCAGTCGATCCCTAAGTAGATGGAGGACACGAGGAAAACCGAGACCATGGCCAGGATGACGTGGTTGAGCTTGGCCGAGCGCTGGCGCCGCCGGGCCCGGCATTCCACGTGCAGCACGAGCGCCAGGCAGGGCAGCACCATGAGCGGGCAGGAGACCAGGAACAGCAGGATGCCCAGGAAGGTGTCCACGTGCCTGCAGCCCGGCCCGGACGCCTGGTGGCCCAGGAACACGCAGAGATAGCTGTGGACGCTGGTGACCAGGAGTGACAGGGTCCAGAGCAGCGAGCACACCACAGCCGACAGGCGCTTGGGCCGGCGGCGCCAGTACCAAGACGGAAAGACGACCGACAGGCAGCGCTCTGAGCTGATGGCTGGCAGGAGGCTCACGCTGGTGACAAACATGCAGAGCCCCAGGATCCGGGACACCGCGCGGACGTAGTCGGCGAACGAGCCCAGGAAGCCCCCCGTGTTCAGGATGGAGAACACGGCCTTGCTAAAGAGGTAGCCGACGTCCGCGCTGGCCAAGTGCAGAAAGTAGATGGAGAAGGGGCTCCTTTTGATGGAGAAGCCGAAAAACCAGAGGACCAGCCCGTTGCCCACCAGGCCGCACAGACAGAGAAGCAGGAAGATATAGTTCATGACGGCTGGCGGTGGCAGCATGGTGATCTGCTTGATGGTCAGGAAGCCGCGGCCGTAGAGCTCCGGGGCCTCGCTCACTCCTGGACACATCTGCACAGGCGTGGAGGGGAGACACGCGGTGATGCTGGCTGGGCTCCATCCCCAAACCTGCACCTGCGTCCAGGTGTGCTGGGCTCCGCCCCCAAACCTGCACCTGAGCCCAGGTGTGTTGGTCCTGATTACAGACGTGGCTCTGGAGCAATGAATGGGCTCCAGCTGGAGCAGAGACACCCTTGATCTGACACAGTGCTGCCATTCTGTGCCCCAGAGTCTGGAGCTGGCAGCCTACAGCAGTGATAGTAAAAATGGTGAAAATAATCGGTCCCTCATAAAGGTACCTGGTGGCCCACCGGCCAGAAAATGGACATGTTGTGCAAGATAAAGGAAAACTGAGGAAGGTTTTCCATATTGAAGGAGACTAAAGAGACATACGACCAATTAATGCAGGGCTGTAAGCCTGGATTGTAGGGTGCATCTAACCATCACTATAGAGGCTGTTAGGGGGATGACTGGGAAATGTGAACGTGGACTATGTGTTGTACCAATGTTATACTTCCTGAATAGGAAAATGTACCGAGGCTATGTATGGGAGTGTCCTTGTTCTTAGAAGATACAAACTGTTTGGGTGCAAAGGGGTTTGGTGTCTGCAATTTACTTTCAAATAGCTCTGGGAAAGAAAGTACCTATCAAGAGATAATAAAGATTTATTAAAAAAAAAAAAAGAGAGATACTAGAGAGAAAGCACATGTGGCAACAGGCTAACAATTAATGAATCGGTGAAGGTGTATGCAAATCTACAAAACTTGCAATTTTTCACACTGAAACATGAAAATATTTATTTTAAAAAACAGAATCAATTGTAAGTTACCAAAACAAAACCAAAGTGGACCCAGACCTATGGTGGAATCAGAGAGACCTGGGGAATCAGAGTTGGTTCCCTGCTGGGCCAGGGTGAAACTCTGGGTTTCTGGATCATGAGGGATCTGGATCTGGCCCAAGGGGGTCCCTAGAGGGCGAGACACTTGAGGCAGTGGCTATTTATAGAGCTGTGTATTTTGACAATTGGTCTGGCTGTGTGAGTCCATCTGGCTAAATGACAGTCTTGCCTGCAGGGTCTGGGCTGGCATATAAATGCATGAACGTGGGTCATGTGCAAGAAGCTGGCAAGTGTTGGGGGGGCAGTGGCAAACCGGAGGGCGCCCGTCTTGAGCAAGTCGGCGGTGCCCTGGTCCAGCCGGTGGGCGCCAGTGGGACCAGCGGGCTGAGTGGCTATTCATCCTTTTCCCTCTCCCCAGAGAAACCAGAACTCGACATGGTAATGTAAACTATCCTGATCTTCAAATGTTGACATTTAAAAAACACGGTGTGGGCCAAACATAACACATCTACAAGCTGGATTCGGTGCTCAGGCTGTGGATTTTGACCTCTCATCCCCAGTGGCAGAGGCTGCCCAGAGCACTGTCACTGCCCTGCCCACACCCCGGCAGACATCACTAATCCATCCCAGCACTCTGTCCCACAGAGCCCGAACCTGGCCTCCCCCTAATCTAAGGCTGGGTGTCAGTACCCATTGCTCATGACTCTCCCTCCAAAACCCAAAACAAAACTGAAAAACAAACCAGAAGGTTCTTGAGGCAGGACTATTCTGCCACTTTCCAGATGGGCCCCAGCTCCGGCAGAAAGCTGGGTCCCAAAAGATTGCTCTCTGGACCTGACACCCCATAACAAAGGGAGGGACCTCTGGCCTGGCTCTGGTCAAGGGGACCCTGCAAGCAGGGACTGGAGGGTGCTGGCAAACTTTGGGGAAACCCCAGGAGGTCAGGGCATGGGGTTCCTGGTCACTACCCGGCATCCTATCCTCGAAATATATTTATTGACCCCACATCTGTCTGTCTGTCCGTCAACTCTCAAACCCCTTAGCTCGCTCTTTACTCAGCCTTTCCTCTTCTCAGCTGGGGAGCAGACCCAGAAATTTACAAGACCCAGTGTCTAAACAAGTCCACGGAGGACCAGCTCTAGCGCTGGAGGGAACTGGGTGGCAGGGGCTGCATCTGACAGGTCAGATCCCTCAGTGCCTCTCGCAGGCTGGAAGAAGTCTGCAATCCTCCCCTCAGAGTCAGAGCGGGAGGGCCGGTGAGTCACTGGACGTGTGGCTGCATTCCCGGCCACATAGCACCTTGTAAAATGCCTGCTCTGGAGCCTGGGGCCCTCCCTGGGCTCTGCCTTTTCTCCGGGGATTTCTGGGGACTCCCAAGCCAGTTCCTTCTCTGTCTCCTGTGGCTGCCATCTTGCAGTGGTCACCATCAGGGCTGCAGGCATGGGGGGGAAATGCCGGGGGCTGGGGTCCTGGCTCTGCCCCGACCTCCGGACTCACCGCAGTCAAGTTACTACACTGGCGTGAGCCTCAAGTTTCCTCAGAGGTTGCACTTGGTAAACTCAGGGCTCCTTCCAACTTGAGAGGCTTTTTCCCGTGATTCAGGAGGGAATTCCAGAGTTTTCAAAGGCCTCAGAGAAGTAGGGGTCAGGAGGGGGGGCGAGGGCAGAAGGGGAGGGTCAGCCTGATGGGTCGTCAGAGTCTCAGCCATGGCTGGTGCCTGGAGGCAGGCGGTAAGCTGGGACTAACGGACCCTGGTGTTGGGTGACACTGGCAGGGTGGCCCAGAGCCCCACGGAGCACGTGACACCAGGGCCCCCTTGGAGCCAGCCTCGCAGGGCCTCCTGGCAGGGCCTGGCCATGGGAAATAGCTGACCGCCCCATCTCCCCAGGGAAGAGATGACAAGGCCTCTGGAGGCTGGTAACAGATGCCCCAAGGTCTGCACAGGATGGGATTCGAGGGCGTCCAGTGATGAAGACACTGGGGATCCGAGGTGACCGGTAACCAGTGCCAGGCCACGTAGCCCAGAGGGGCCCTGCTGCCCGCCTGTCTGTCCCGAGCTAGAGGATGGGCCCTGGGCGGCAGAGTGTGTGTGAGAAGGGGATGCTGGGCGGGGTCTGCCCCCTCCCACCACACCATTCTGCAGACCCCGGGTCGGGGAGCCCCCTCTGTCGGGAGCTGATGGTGGCACTTGCCTTGTTCCTGTTGGTGGGATGGGTCTCCCAGGAGCAGTTTCCAGCCATCCCCAGGCCTGGTGAGTCCAGATTCCTTACGGCTCTGCTCACAGCTCACCGGCCTGCACAACCCACCTGGCCAGGCAGAAAGAGTCACATGAGGGCGGCAGTGTTCTCCCCTCCCTCGCAGACCCCTCCCCAGGCCCTCAGGGCTCTCCCCTTGGAGGGCAGGCTGATGAGCCATCCCCTGGCCGCCTTAGAGGCAGGGCCTTGTGGGAGGCACCGGGCTTCC